ACGATCATGAGAGGAAGGAAAAGGGAGTGAATGTTACGGGTTCGATGTCTTTCACCTCTAGCGAAAGTGGAGGAAGTATGATTAAATGTTTTGGAAAAACTACAGGAAAAATGATGGCATACTCGTATCCGTACAACAAACTATCTCTGATACACTCAACAATTCCACATTCCTCGAAACATTCTAAATAACCTGTAATTTTTTTTCTAATGAATACTCTGCAAAAAAAGGAAGAATGATAATAAGATAAAAGTGAAAAGAATTCGTTCTTTAAGATGAAACTTTCAATAATCAATATATACTGAAATCATCAAATATCGATTTCATCATTCAAAACAATAAGCAATGCAAAAATTTTACATAAAATCAAGCAGTTTTCCCTCCCAAACATGACATTCCATCTCTCTCTCTCTCTCTCTCTCCCTATCTGTCTCTCTATCTATTCAGGACACAATGCTATGTAGCACTGTGTCCTCCTATCTACGAAACTCTACAAACAATTTCCAAAAGGACAGCAGAATGGGAGATAAAAAAGTTCTTCACTTTTTCTTCCAAAAAAAATCTCATTAGAGTGGTCGGAACTCATATGTTATAGCCGAATTATTCCACTTATCTCCTCAGTGAAAACAATAAGTCTGCACTGCTCAGAAGGACGATCATTTGGGACTTTAACATGGAGACAGACTAATATGTTAACAGTATATTGGCCTTGAAAAATTCTTTTAAAGATGTTTGAAGCTGGAGGAACGCTGACATACACAAACACTAGCTAGTAGGGCACTTACCACCCCACTTTCTACGACACTAAAATATCGATACTCTCTTCTATGATTAAAAAAAACTCACTCTATTGATATCTGTCTCCATCTTTCTCATTTCCTAAACAGAGATCGAATGAAAAGGCGGAAAAAACGAAAACCCCTCTTGCTGCCTAAGGCTATGTACTTACAAATTGCTTAGCATTCCATATTCATTCTTTCCAATTTCCAACCACATAAAACAAATGCCACAAAGCAAAAAATTGCTGAAATGACTGCAGCCTAATTAAAATGTAATCATTCCATCTTCCTTAATTACCTTCCAATGATATCATATAGTATATAACTAAACGTAAAATGTAAAACTCATACTGTGAATTTTCTTAGCAACTGTTTTTAATTTATCTTAATGCTACTAACTAATTTTGCATTATAAAGATAAGTGAATAAATCGATTGAGGAAAATAATGAAGGAAATAATTAAATTAACTGAAGCAATGTATTAAGCTAGAAAGATAAGTGATTCTTTATAATTGCAAAGGATTATTAAAACAAGTATCGAGAAATTTCTGTGTTTTCTGAAAGAATTTGCATGATTTTCATCTGGCAACAAAGAGGAACAGAAGAGAGCAACAAATATTTGAAATTCGAAAATAATGAAATTGTTTTCAATAAGGAAGAAAATAATAACAAATGTATGTGAGTTGATTACTAGTGGAAAATGAATAACAACGGTAAGATAGGGAGGAGAAGCAGTTGACGGAATGGAATAAAATGGCTTGTGTCCCCGCTGCACCAGACAAAATCGATCGAAGAATGTTGTGATATTGGGGCGGCTGTTGGCATGTGGATGATGATGACTGAGAAACGTTTGCAATAAGGCTGTCGAAGTTGTTGCTACCGTTGCAATCACCACCACCACTATTATTACTACTACCACCACTACTACTACTACTACTACTACTACTACTGTTGTTGTTGTTACTTTGGGAAAGAAAAGAGTGGAATGATATGCGAAAAATACAAAGAGTTCGAATTCGTTAAACCGGCCATAATAGTGAATTTATAATGGCATTCTTTTTGAATCGAGAAGAGATGCCGAAGTATCGCAAAGAGCTTGTTGTTTACACATATGATGTGAGGAGACAGTTTTATCAGTTATACAGAACAAAGAATTGAAACTCGATAATATATTTTTAATTTGGAATAGGTTAGTTTAGTCAAACTAACTAAACATGTCTACTATTAGTTTGTTTTATAGAAAAATAACTGTGCTGCATGCTTGTTAATTTCTCGATAATATCTATCTTCATTCAGGAAACAAGTGAATTATTTGATGCTGGAACAAAATTCTCAAGTTAAAAAGTATTAAAAAATAAACAATTTGGGGACGAAATGCTTCCAATCACTTTTCTTTCATTATTTGTGCATTGAAAATCTTTGGTGCTTCTCAGTGCTTTGAAAAGATTATCTGCAACGCTTCGAAGATGCTTAGTTTTTCCGCAATTAGTCGTTTCTTCAAACTCAACATTTTGGATGTGGACATTTTCCAATAATTCATCATTTTTTGTCTTCACTAATATAATCTACTGTGAAAAAAATGAGTCAAATAAAATAAGAAAAAAAAGATATGAGAAATAATTTAAATGAATTTGAGAAAGCTTAGGATTAATCCTACTTCTAGCTATATAAATCTAGCTATATAAGACGGAAAAAAAAGTTCGAATAAATGATGTTTGTTGTCAGACAAAGAATGTTAGCGCCTCTATTAGGGAACAGTATCGGGATCACGATGATTACTGATCAGAGATAATGTACCATTTTATTTTAAAATCATTCTATGTCTTCATTATCACTGTCCCCCTAACAAGATATGCATTTCGGATGAACGATGTTACTTCCGAATAAACTGAATAAAATCATCAGCAGTAATTCGACATCATTATGACGATTCGAGCATTGCAAAAATTAAATTCTCTAACCAAGCATTTCTAACAAATTCAGACTGAAACCCTCTTTGGGAATGACATTGGCTAGACGCTGTCAAATGAAAAATTAATCAAATTAAAGATACACTATGATGTGCAATCCAAACAAATCAAATATAACGGAATGATTTAATTAGGAAACTTTATGAGCTTCCAGAAGAATTAGGTTGCCTGGTGACGGTGGATAGAAACGAAATTTTATTAGAATAAGAGTGAAATTAAAAAATCAAAAATATGGTAATATCTGTTTGTGCAACCAAATATTCACATAATTTTGCAGAATATTTCGATGTTCAATGCATCTTTTTATAAGTTGTAAAGATCGTTCAAGTTCTCCGGGAATAGAATACAAAAGTAGCTGGATATACATTCGCCGGTTTGCAGAATATATTGTTTTTAAGTTATGAAACATACCACAAAAGATGTGAGAAAACGGAGGTGAATAGAGATGAATTTTTGAGAAAATATCATAAAACATTTCAGCAAACGTAATATTTTAAAAAAAGGTAACCGTTTTAAATTTAGAATTTTTAAAAACAAGATGAAACTCGATAGTATGAAAAAAGCATCCGTTACTAATGAATACTACTGCTTAAATATTTCAACAATGGGAAGGGAAGAATAAAAAGCGAGAAATTGCAGATGATTTCCGAAATTCAATTTACTGTGTTCCAGCCGTTACAGTGAAAAAATTAAAAACAAAAAATGGATTGTACAATAAAAGCTATTATGTAATAGCTGAAAGATTACACTGAAAATTTTTAAGGAATTCCAAAACATATCAATTTCATTCCACTAACTTCGCTTTGTTCAACTGCTACTTAATTTTAACTTCAAAAACATCGAAAAGAAAAGTCCATAGAATGTGATTTGAAGTATATTTCCAAGTATTATTGATGACTGGTAAGTTACCTGATGTCAAAATTAAATTCTCATTCATTAACATACACCACCCAATGCTTTTTCCTTCTCTCAAATTCAGGTCGAATTTGAACAAATATATTCAAAAGTAATTCTCCTAAAAATCTTGCAACTGAGGACTGTTCTTCTTCCTTCAGAGTAGTAAGAGCAGAACCTAAACCGTACTGTAAATGAATCGACAGTAAAGGAATCCCTTCCTCTTCTATCAATTTCACTCTTTTTCATTACTTGCCATCATTTTCGAACACAATGATTGCCCACAACAACGATTGCTCATTATAAAAAAGATACAAATTTGATAAAGAAAAAAAATGCTGCAGTAAAAAAGCACCGAAATAGCATTGGAGCTATGAGATCTTCAATGGGCTATTCCAAATGCTAATAAATGCAAAAAGTTAGAAATGCTTCTAAAAAAGAAATTATATCCTTTGAATACTTCTTACACAATTCATTTTTTTTTTCGAAGCGTTTCAGATAAATGCTAAGAGAGACACTTTACGAACTGTTGAGGATTTTCAAAATTTAAATGTTTAATCAGTCATTTTCAATCCATTCTTTTCTTCTTTTGAATCTACAACTACAGTGTTCTTGATTAGTTCACTTAACTATCCGGAAGAGTTCAAACTTATATGCAGTTTGAATAGATGAACGTTGATTCCAAAAATTGAAGAAAATAAACGAGAAAAAAAAGACTTACGATAAATTACTTTAGGAGTGCATGATAGGTTATATGGGATTTCTCTTTCTCTTTCCCTCATAGATCAAGAAATGAATCAAAGATAATGACACTGTGATAAGAAACATTACGTAACACTCTTTATAAAGCCTAAACCTTTCCCTTCGCATACCTAATTCCAGCCATCAATCATCCCATTCAGTAAGCAATATCATTGAAATCAATTCCTTCTTAAATTTCATAGCTAGTTGCATGCAACGAGAAGTGCGGATATGTGGCAAAAATGGGACGCGGGACCTCCGTATGTTCGAGTATTCGGTCTGTGGAGTTTGTTTGGGTGGTGGCGTCAATTGTGTTGATGGCTAAAAAGAGAAGATTGAGGCATTCAAGGAGATGATTTGTTTGATATAAGAAATTTGTATGCATGAACATCGAACACTTGACAGTTTGTTTTACTGTTTATTTATTAAAAATACTCGTGATTTGCAGCTGCTGAAGCAATGGTAGATGTAGAGGAAACCCTGAAGAGAATTCAGAGCCAGAAGAACGTTGCTGGAGTTATTGTTATGGACTCATCTGGTACAACTCATGTGTTCCTTATCGTTCTGCTTTTTCCCCCCACTCCTTTTATTTTTTGTTCATTATACCTCATGACCCTGATTTTTTATAATTTCATAGGCCGGGCGATTCGGTCAACCTTGGATGATGAAGCTACACAACAGCACTGCATATTACTGCATCAGTTATGTGATAAATCAAAAAGTGTTATTCGGGAATTGGACGGCTCAAACGATCTCACATTCCTAAGGCTACGGACGAGAAAACATGAAATAATGATCGCACCTGACAAAGATTTCCTGCTGGCTGTGATACAGAACATTACTGCACAGTTTTAACTTCATAATTTATTGCAGTTTCTGATTTTATGTTTATATGTGATAAGTTTACCGTTTTTGTTATGTGAAAAGATTCACATGTTAAAGTAATGCACATTTTTGTAAATAGACTGACATAAAGTTGAAGAGAACGTGAAACTAAGAAGGCGGCGCGACGGAATAAAGTAAATCATGTAGTAATTGGGATATGAATGCAGCGCGATTTCATTGCTGTTTTGAGTGTATTCTAAAAAGTGAGCTAAATTTGATTATCTTCACTGCATTATATGTCCTGATAAAGCCGTAATTCTCCGCTTTAACCTTTTTGGAAAAGAACATCTTGCGGAAGTCTCACCGCGATCTTGTCATAATTTTTCTTACATGTTTTCATTTTTTTAAATATATGTTTTTGTCTAGTAACATTGCTTCAATTCATTTGTTAGCGTTGTTGATGTAGGTGGTCCTGAGACCTTACTTTTCCTTATTACTGATATAGAAAGGGAAGAGAAAGAATGTTATTCTTGACTGATGTTTTTTTCCCATTAAAATTCTTGCTTTTATGTTTTGGATATATTAGTCCTCTACTCAGAAATTAGACTGAAAGTTATTGTCAAGTGAATGTTTTTAACTTTCGGCATAGTGATATCTTGAAGCGAATTCAATATCGCATTTCCAGGTGTGCAGCATGCCTAGTTTTTTCGATGTGCTTGGGTTAGGCTCACAGGAAGGATCTTCGAGAAATGTCTTGCGGACATCCACTACTGATCCGACACTCGGTAAGCTAAACGCTTAGAATAATTAATTTTATTAATCATTATGAATTTCTATTTCTCTTAGGCAGTGCGGGGATAACCAGTATATAACTGCACAGTCTTTAGAACTTTATAAATTCGTGCTGTGATATGTTTCGGCAGTCTTCCAGAAATTCTTAGTATATATACATGACTTGAAAAGTGTGATTATTAAGAAATGTAATGCCCTCCCAGTCAGTGACATTTTGCACTTCCTTCGAGAACTCACAAATCCTTAAGATACATAAGCAATTTAAATGAAAAGATAAGCGAATTGATTAAAATTTTAAGTGAATTATCCAAGTTAAATTTATTTGAGTTCCCAATGATAATGCCACTAAAGAAAGCAATACACGGGCACAAACACAGATGCAGAAAGGATATTCGTTTGATTCCTCGGCTTTGGAACGTGCAGCTGATGCTGCACGACAGCTGGAAATGTCTCGAAATGCCAAGGAAGCATTTGAAATGGCACGATTGCAAGAATTTACAAAGCAGAAAGAATATGAGGCTGCTGCTAAGGTATATTTAGGAATAATTAAAAAGTTCACAAAAAAAACGATATATGGGGAGGTTTGTATTCAAATAATTTCATATAGCAAACTTTACACATTTCTGGTTTTTGATATATTGCAGCAAGCAGAAGCACAGATGCAAGCACTTCGGTCGGAACAAATACGTATTGCGGAGGAAGAAAGACGTAAAACTTTGGTTGAAGAAACAAAACATGCACGTGCTGTAAGTGAATAAAGATTTGGAATGTTATTTTTGGTATGATTTCATCATAGTGTGTTTTGGAAAAGAAAACTTTAGAGAGCAGAACATCAAGATCAGTTGGCACGTAAACGGCAAGAGGAGGAGCTAACAATGAAAGCGCGTATGCAAGCTGAAAATTTAAAAAAACAGGAAGAAAGTGTGCGAAAGCAGGAAGCTATGAGGAAAGGTAACATTTGTTGCATTCATTATTCCATTCATGCCATTCGTGAATTATTGTCATCCGATAATTGATTCTGGTGAACGTACGTTTCTTTTTTTTACGTTTGCCAGAAAAAATAATTTTGCATAATGTTCAAAATTATTTGTAAATTTCTTAGTTATCATTTCTCAAATTATCGGTTGGTAATTCGATGTGCTATTGGATATTAAATTGATAGCAAGTATAAATATTTTTAGAATAGATTTAGAAACTTCCAGCATTTGAACTCAGAAAATATTAACGGTACATAATAACTCTTTCAGCAACTATTGAGCACGAATTGGCTTTAAAACATAAATATGATCTGGAAAAAGTTGAAGCTGAAACTCATGCCAGAGCTAAAGCTGCCCGTGAAAATCGTGATGTTAATCTGGAACAGCTGCGTGCATCCGAAGAAGAGCGAAGAAAAACAGCGATTGAAAAAATTAAGTTGGTATTTTAAACATGTGATCAAAGTTTATCTCTGCAATTAATAGTAATATAGTTTTATTTCTTTCTAATATTAGTTATTAATTTAGTTGTTTCATTTTTTTGCTGACATTCGTAATTTATTACCAGCTGGTATTTATTCAAAAAATATAGTATTGAAGTATTAAATCATTTAATCAAGAGTGGTATTCATTGCCGTTCGATGAAAATGAAGTAGTTTGTCTGTCGAGCTCCGTTTGACCTTCCATTGCATTATAATGTCCTCTCAAGATAGTAGACATTTTCATTTATTTCTTCAGCCCATTTAGAATATTTCACAAACGAACCCTCAGTAAAAAGTGAAACATGTATAAATCATGTTATTAAGTTGCAATGTCTCATTTACTGTTGAGGTTTGTAGAACCAGTGGAGCAGTTTTGGGAGCTGGATTGCAAGAATTTTTTAACGATCCAAAAAAAATCGTTTCAGCTGTTAGTATTTTTTGATTTTCTTGCTGATTTTGTAACTATCTTCTATTATTAAAGGTCAAATTCTTTAGAAATGTCTAAGTTCCAATAGAAGAGTCAAACAAAATAATCTTGTTTAGGGTGTAAATTTTTATTACAAAATGCATCTGATCGCCTTATTCGTGAGCGGTTTTTTTCTGCTTTTCAAAATTGTATTTCTGTCTGATTTTTCTACAGGTTGGTAGTTTAACTGCGCTTGCTATTGGTTTGTATGGTGCTAAAAGAGGTACAGCAGTTGTGGCTCGTCAGGTTGAATCACGATGGGGAAAACCGAGTTTAGTTCGAGATACTTCACGTATAACATTCTCGGAACTATTCAGACACCCCATCAAGATACTTAGAACCACTTTTCGAGCTAAGGATGACCCCTTGAAAGGAATTGTCTTAAGTGTAAGTACTTCCTCATAAAATGAACTTTAATTTTCAATTTTATTTTATGAATCTTATTTACAATGATGAAAAACTTTTTCAGCCGGAGTTAGAAGCACAGTTACGAGATATCGCGATAACCACGAAAAACACAAAACAAAATCATGGCCTTTTTCGGAATATACTATTTTATGGTCCACCTGGTACTGGTAAAACTCTTTTTGCCAAGGTATGCTTTGATATGCATATAAAATTATTTCCATCATTTGGTTCGCAACATTTTACTGATCACATTAACTTATGAAAACATTTGATTGTTTGAATTTAAACAATCAAATTTTAGAGATGCAATGATCCGACTTTAAAGAAGTGGAGTCAGTGTAAGAAATTGCGCTTTCTTATGATATTAGTGCTACGAATCTCTGGAACTTTTGATATTTTGAGATTGCAAGAAATAAACAGTAAAATAAGTTTATATATTCGTGTTTTAAATTTGTTCCAGAGTTTAGCTCATCATTCGGGTTTGGATTATGCTGTTATGACTGGTGGTGATGTGGCACCATTAGGATATGACGGCGTTTCTGCGATGCACAAGGTTTTTGATTGGGCTGAACATACGAGGAAGGGGTAAAGAATTTTTGCATATTTCTCAAAATACTATTTTATGATTATTGCTTCATAATGATGAAATAATTTTGGTGCTCATTGGGAACTTTTAAATTTTTTCACAGACGATTAATTAAAATACTTCATATATATGGCTCCTCTACCAGAAGTGGAAAAATAATTTTGTAGGGATTACTTTATAGATTTATTATCCAACGATTAAGTTGATAATCTCAGTTTATTTCGATCGTGTTCATATATTTCTTTTCTCCCTTTTAGTTTGGTGCTCTTTATCGATGAAGCTGATGCCTTTTTACGTAAAAGGGCAACAGAACAAATAAGTGAAAGTATGCGTGCCGCGTTGAATGCATTTCTGTTTAGAACTGGCGAACAATCCAGAAAGTAAGTTTTTTATTGCATCTGACTATTTGGTGCACTTTTGAAGTATACATATTGTTGAAATTATTCTGTTAAAGCCAAAGTACATTTAGGTAATTTGAATAGTTGTTATTCATTTAAACTTATTAATTACTTTTTAAGATTCATGCTAGTCGTTGCATCAAATCAGCCGGAACAGTTTGACTGGGCTGTAAATGATCGATTGGACGAATTAGTTGAATTCAAATTACCCGGTATGTTAGGCATCGTATTTTTACTGTGCGTTTGGGGCAATATAGGAATATAAAATGCGCGAATTTGATTTAGAATTTTCTTTTCTTTTTAAAGAACTGCTGTTTATATCCATGTCATCCCAAAAATGAAATATGTCTGCTCTTATTTTATTTCACAGCTTTTTAAGTTAAAAAGTGTTTTGCAATTGGTTAAGTATTTTAAAAGTCGATATGTGATTATTGTTTACGTAGAACGTTTGTTGATTATGAACAAATATCTCAAAAACGGGATATTTCATATATTCAATTTTGAAATACCGGATAATTGCCAGGAGTTTAAATAAATGTTGATATTATGATGTGATACAACCGGGACAAGATTTTATATAGATGATGGGGCAGTCATAAAATAAAAACGCAGTTTTTTTATTGATGCTAAATAATTCCAGGTCCTGCGGAACGTGAACGTATCATATTGCAGTATTTCGATAAATACATTGCTGCACCAGCTACGTCAGGCTTTAAAAAAGCACGCTTGAAGTTAGCAGATTTTGACTGGGTCAAAAAATGCACTGATATTGCGCAGAAGACTGATGGGATGAGTGGTCGGCAGCTCTCCAAGCTTGTCATTAGCTGGCAGGTGACAAATTGAAATATAAAAATATGTGTCAATGTAACACAATGTGTTACGACCTCATATGAAAATTTATCGAAATGTTTGATTTGTAAAAAC